GCGGAGCAGTCGCCCTGGGAGCTGAATGACTTGCATGCAGAGTCCGTGGACAAGGCTTGGAGGTGCCACAATGCTGAACCACGAGTCGCCAACTGCCCTGCCCTGTCACGGCGGAGCCTTCTCACGGGGGACGGCGGCAGGTCTTTGCTTCGCCAAGCCGCATCATTGGCGGTTCTTGTCTGAGCAGGGCTTGTCTGCGATGGCGAGCTCATTCCTGGCATGCAGGAGGCCTCCGGCACGGACCGCGGCGGGTGGCGGGCGCGCGCTGGGGTGGCGAGGGCCCCCGAAGAGTGGGAGGAGCAAGGCTGATGGCTTTGACCACTGCGGCGATCAGAGCGCAGGCCCGAGTCAGGGGACCCATCTCAAGGCAGCAGATCGCCGCGCACCCCTCGGATGTGACACTGGGGCAACCGAGCTGGTTTCTCATCCTCGGCATTGACATTCGCGCGCAACGCCGCCGCCGAGGCGGCGGACTTGCATTGGGGGGGGGGGCGTGCGATTTTTGAGACGGTGGAGGCGCGGAAATGCTTCGGCGCGGCGTCGCCGAGCAATCCTCGGTGGAAGTGTGTTTCATGGACGACCCAAAGCGATTGTCATGGCGGTTTTGTTCGCATCATTAAACGCCGAGGGCGGCGAGGGCCAGCGAAGAAAAAAAATATCGGCACCATGGCCAGGATCCAGCATTGCATTCTACGAGGGCGCACGTGTGCAGCCATATTGCTGGCGGCGCCATTGTTTTGCATTCTGGGGCGGACGAAGCAGGCGCGCCCGTCGGCAAAACGTTGGCAGGCGACGCCGCGCCGCAAAGGGTAGGCACTGACTCCCGGCAGGCAAACGATCTGGCGCGGGACGCGGCGTCGTCGATTCAGTAGGCGAGGGGGCGCAGTTTGGTTGCGCAGCCAAGGCGTTGTCAGGACATGCTTACGTCAAACGCTACGTCGGCAGAGCTATCGACGGGCGGGCGCGCGCCCCACGCGCGAAGCCCCTGAAGGCGATCGGGCACTTGGCGCGATCTATACTCGCGCCGGGTGGCGAGGCCAGCGGCGAAAGCAAGACTGGATAATATCAAGGCTCGTGTGTCAGGCTTGTGAAGAAAATTGCGGGTGCCAGGGTCCAAATTTCGCGGGGGCCAGGGTTGTCGCCGTCAGCGGCCCATGGCGCTTGCGTGGCGGGTGCCTCCAATACCGACCCTCAGAAGCTCAGGCAGATTGCGGCGGCTGCGCGCGGAGTCAAGGCTGGCGGTGCGAGTGGCTCTGCGTTCTTGCACGTGCAAAAAGATCAGCTCATTGATGCCATCTTCGGGACCGCGCTGGAGATCACGCGCGCGTGCCTGCTTCGCGTGGGCCCACAAGCTGGCGCTGGGCAGACTGGAGCGCGCCTGGAGAGTTACGGCAGAGAGTTGGGCAACTCAAGCGCCTTCCTGGATTGGCGCACGGGGACCATTGGCTGCGCGCTGGCTCAGCTCGCGACGGATTGGGCGGAACATGGCCATCGGTTTCATATTTGTCAGTGATGTCTCACAGCCCAACTCTCTGCCATCAACGGCTCCGAAAGATCGAAGTCGCTGGCGTCGGATGTAGTTCGCAGGTCGCAGGGACGCCAGCTAGTGAAGCACGCGCCCAAACACTTAGAGGGCAACCTGGCAATCTGGACGAAGGCGCTCCTCATAGTGGCAAGTTCTGTCGACGCGACCGGGTCAGGCCGCAGCTTGCTGTAGCCTCGAGGGTGGTCTAGCTTGGTGGCTTCATGACGGCGGCGCAACAGCATGAATTCAAATGGTCGGCTATGCCGACGCGCCCCCGCCCTGGCTGCCATGCGCGACAATTGCGATGCACGATGGGCCGTTATTTGCATGCATGCCCCTTCTTGCTGGATGGTGAGACGGCGAAATCGCTGCCAGAGTGGAGCGAGGGAGAAGACCAGGAATCACCGCGACGAGTGCGCGGTCGACCCGTTCGGGGGCGGGGGCTGGAATTTGATGACTTTCTGCTTAGACTTGCCGCGTGCTCTCTGAAGGTGGCACCGCCCAGTATTTTGTTTGCCCATCTGTGTTCTGGGCTTGCTGGGGGTCCGATCCCAGCAGCTGGCCCCGGGAGGCATGTGCGGACGGGTCTTGGTTGCAAGGACGTGGGCGGGCGGCGGTTCATTTTTGGGGGGGGTTCTTGTCAGAGCCTAGTATGGACCCTTTCCTGCCCTGCACAGGCGCGGGCAGTGAGCATGGCCGAGCGCTGATGACCCTGTTTTCCACCACCACCACCGTAACTTGGATGGGGGCAAGGAGGAGGAGGAAGAGGAAGAGGACGAAGATGAGGAGGAGGAGGAGGAGGAAGAGGAGGACCCCCCCCCTCCAAGTTATGGTGGTGGTGGTGGAATGCACGCCCACCAAGCGCGTCGCGATTCTCAGAGCCCCGCAGCATGTCCCAGGGAGCCCTGGCCCTGGTGTTTGGTCTCAGTGGGGCGGTCAGTGCAAGGCGGGACTGGGATTCGACCCACGGGGCCTGCGGAGGCTCGCGCGCTTGTCTGGCGTCAGATTTTTAATGTGCAGGAGGAAAAACACACAGACCCAATTAATCGTCGATTCCCATGACAATATGCGAAAATATGGGAAGTGGGTGGCAGACAAAAGACCAGAACATATGGGGCCCCTTTTAAATGTTTGCAGGGGCATTCCTGAACCCCTTTTTTCGAATGCCCCCCCGCACACTTGGACTTGCTTGAGTTTCCCAGGTGTCACCCGGACAAGCCTCCCGAGTGGCACGCGAACGACTCGTCGGCTGCCAGTTTCGTGAGGACGGGGCCAATGACCAGAAATGACCATACAGTTGTTGGTGGTTTCATGTCCGACACTGCCGAGAAGCTCAAGATATGCAAATCTCGCGCGCGCGCGTGTCGTTGCCTAGGCGTTGGCGCAGCTAGCCGCATCCCGAGACGCTTTGGATGAGAAGCTGGCAGCGCGCGCACAGGAGTACCAAGATGGCCTCCCCGCTCGGTCTGTTCCCCGAGTTGAAAGTTCCTGCTTTCAAAGGGCAGACACCTCCTACACTTTCAATGGGCATTGAAAGTGTAGGAGGTGTCTGGCCCAATCCAGGAATAGGGCCACTGAGAGACACCTCGCCGCGGGATCTGGTAGGAAGTGCAACCGTGGCCCACTCCAGGCCCATCGGGCCAGTTTCGACTTTGGCCCCGATGGGCGTGTTGAGAAGGCCGCCCGCGTCCCCCTTCCTGATCCGAGCAACGCGGCGCTTGAGGCGGCTTTTGCGTGTGGCGTGTTGGATGGTTCGGAGGTTGGTGCCCGCGGGGTTGCCTCTGAGGAGGCGACGGTGGGACGGAGAGGTGATCGTTTCTCGAGTCTTCGACACCGTATGGGTCGAAAGGGTCTGCACATGTTCTGATGGAATTGCGGTGTCTATAGATCGAATGGGTTGGGGCCTCGTTTGAAGAGAATGTAGTGCTCGACTGGGTTCTAAGGCTGACTTACACATTATGTGGGACAGTTCGGGCACACGAAGATCGGCATTCCCTTGTGATTGTCTCTGGGCATGAGAGGTACGCCAGCTGTTGCAGCACCATGGCCCTTCTCCTTCAGAGCGCTAGCGCCTCTACGCCTGGTATCCTCGTATCCTCCTCTTCCTCCCCCTCCTCCTCCTCCTCCTCCTCCTCCTCCTCCTCCTCCGCCCCCTCCTCCACCTCTTTGCCTCACTTCATCCCTCACCCCCGCTCCCGCCCTCCCTGTCCCAGTCCTCCTCTTCCTCCTCCTACTCCTCCTCCTCCTCCTCATCATCATCATCATTCTTCTCCTTCTCCTCGTCCCTTCTCCTCCCGCCTCATCCTCCCTTCCTCCTCTTCCTCCTCCTCTTCTAGGACCGCCTGCGGCTGTGAAGGCCGTCATGGCGGCTGAGCCCGAAACGCTTGCGATTCTGAATTGCGTCCGCTCGTCCTCGGGATTGCAAGAGAGAGGGGAGTCTTTTAAGTTCGGCGGAGGCCATCGGTCCCCCAGCGGTCGCACCGCCAGGGCGCAGTCGGCGCGAGCGTAGCCTGCCCGTTCACCACAGTGTGGCCTTGCTGATATCCCCGGTGCCCTCTTCGTCCTCTCCTCCGCTCTCTTCAACTTCGCAGTCCTCCATCCACCCTTTCCTTTCCTCCTTCACCCTCTACAAGTACACCGTGTCGATACTATCATCCTCTCCCCCTGACTACGTGCGAAAAGTATCCCGCCCCCTCCGCCTGCTGCTTTCACACACGATGTGTAACGGTGATATGTTCTCTGGTTGTTTTAGCCCGCTTGCTTTCGGTGTTTCAAAATGGTATTCCCCCTGCAGCGTGGGCCTTGTTTGGGATCGGCTATCGCCCCGTCGTTCAGAATGGCGGTCTCGCCCCAGCGTGTCTGGATCTCGCACGTCCCACAGGCCCCGCAGGTTCCCCAGAAGTCCCCAAGGTCCCAGAGGCCCCACAGTTCCCGCCGGTCCCTCAGGTCCCACAGGTCTCGCAGATATCGCAGTTCCCACAGGCCCCACAGGTCTCACAGGTGTCGCGGGTCTCACAGACCCCATAAGCAACAGATGCCCCCGAGGCCGCACAGGTCCCACAAGTCCCGCAGGTCCCACAAGCTCCACATGTCCACAATTCCCACCTGCCCCACAGGTCCTGCAGGCCGCACAAGTCCCACAGGTTCCACAGGTCCCACCGATCACACAAGACCCACAGTTCCCACCTGCCCCACAGGTCCCACAGGTCACCTTCTTTGCTGCTGAGCAGGAGGAGGAGACGGAGGAGGAGGAGGTGGAGGAGGAAGAGGAGGAGAAGGAGCCGAGGAGGAGGAGCAGGAGGAGTTGGAGGAGGAAGAACATTAGGAGGAGAAGGAGTTGGAGGAGGAAGAGGAGGAGGAGGAGCGGGAAGAGCTGGAAGAGGAGGATGAGGAGAAGGAGGAGGAGTTGGAGGAGGAGGATGAGGAGAAGGAGGAGGAGGAGGAGGGAAAGGGACGCCTGGGGCTCGCGTGGCAGGCGCGCCGTTGTCAGTACCAGGAGATGCGGTGCGGCATATACGAGGCCTCCGCGGTTGACGCGGCGACGGCGGCGACGGTGGCGGCGACGGCGGCGGCGGCGTCAGTGGTGGCGACGGCGACCACTTCGACGACAGCGGCGGCGACGGCGACGATGAAGAGGGGGAGGGATGGAGGGAGGAAGGGAGGGAGGGGAGGGGGGAGGAGGAGGAGGAGGAGGAGGAGAAGGAGGAGCATGAGCATGAGCATGACCATATGACAATGTCAATCAGTACCACATGAGCTTAAATGTGCACCTTAAATTACGCCCCTGGGACGTCGGGATGCTTGCTCTGTACGGCTGAGGACCTTCGGCCACAGCCCACGAGAGATTCGGTCAAGGTATTCAATCCCAGACGGGGCTAGCTTACGGAGACATTGCTGACCCAGCTTGAGGATTTGATTAGCACCGAAACCTGCACAATCACGGCAATACCATAACTTTAATGGGCCATGATACTGCATATTATGGGATTCATGCACACTCCCCCCCGCTATATGGAGGGGGACGTGGGGAGGTTTAAACCAAAGCACCCCGTTATAATGGACTGGTTGAAAGCACGGGGTCAACCTCCATTCGACAGTGGTGGCGCTGGAGGCTGATCCTCCACATCTCGTGCAACCCCGCCCCGTGTCATCCAGACAGTGGGAGGTGGAGAAGAGGGAGCACGAAGCAGCAGAAGGAGGGACGACGACGGAGGAGGACGATGGTTTCTCCCGCGGAGCCTTGCCCTCCGCACTCATCGCGTCCAGCGTCGACCGCAAGATCCTCATCCTGACCAGCCTCGCCCTTCTCTCATGCATTAACACTCTGTGTCTGACGGCGGCGGGCAGCCTGGCCTCCGTCGCCGCCCACCCCGCAACTTCATCAACAACACTATTGCCCGTGATCATCCACCTCCGCGCCCGCTGCTGCACCACATCCCTCCCCGTCAAGTGGGAGTTGACAAAGAACACATTGATGCAGCGCTCTGGGGCGGCGGCCAGCAGCTGGCCAAGGCGGGCCCACAGGTCTCCGTCTGGCCCCGAAGGGGCCAACAACTTCTGCTCGAACCAGCCCTGCACGACGGATTCACAATCGGACGCGAAGAGGATCGCGCCGACAGTACACCATACTGCAAGGAGGAGGGCTCGGAGTTCTCCCCGAGCGACGGCTTGACGAGGGCCCGCGAGAGGACCCCTCACAGTGGCCTTCAGCCCCACCGTCGGCTCCAGCTGGCCGAAGACCGCAATGCCAAGGCCCACTCTGCGGAAGGCCGAGCAGCTCGTGTCGGCGCCGCCGCTAGCGTCGCCAAACACCAGCAGCGGCTCCTCCACCGTGCCGCCACCCAAGAAGCCCTCAGCCACATCCTCATTGACCGTCGCCGTCCAGCACTCCTCAGACGGTGGTGGTGGCAGATCCGTCCAAGGCTGAGGCATCAGGCCTCGCATCCAGAACGCCTCGTCGGCGCCGGACTGGACCAGCGCCTGCGAAACCAATTCGTCTGACTCGGCGTATGCAGAACTACCTGTATTGCATTCGCCTTCCCATATTCTGTGTTTCAACGTCCACAACGTCCACACGATTCAGGACCACGATACTTAGACATCTCTGCTTTGTGCCTGGCTCTGGGCCAAACGCCGTCTACTGCACATGCAACCATGACTTCTCCCAACCGTTGTCCAATAACTGGGACTGTCGACAATTGTTCGATGAGAAGACGGTAAGAACGACAATCAACTCCTCGCTCCATCCCTCCTCCTGCGTAGTGTCGGCTGGCGCCGACCCACAGACGAGAACGAAGCGTATCTGAAAAATCCGAGAGGCAACCATCGTGCCTGTCGAGCGCGTCGATGCCGCTGTACATGCTGTCGTCGAAGCGCCACTGGTCTCCCTCGAACGGGTGAGGTGACGGGATGGTCCAACCTGTTGCCTCTTGCACTCCCCATCCTGCTTCCAGCAGGTGCAGGATCACGGCCGAGATCGGGCCACGGACATGACGAGAACGTTGCCCTGGAGGTAGGTGCATCATGTGCTGAGAAACCGACGTCCAAGCCTGCTGAATGCCCTTCACCATATCTGGATGATCACGCCACGACCGTAACCAGAGATCCAGACATTCAACAGGTAATTTGATGGCGGGATCGTGGTCATCCGCACGCAGCGCCAAGAGGGTAGTGAGGCACCTCCCTCTTGTCGCCGCTGCGCAGGACAAACCAAGCTTGCGCCTGGCTTGTGTCATGCGTGCACCAAACGTACAAAATATCGGATGGCCATATACACCTGCTGCCTGTGAACCGTGCTTCTCCAATCGTCGCGTGATGGAATATTTCTTTGATCTAAAAGCAAAACGTCGGATCTTGGCACGCATATGCTTGCTCTTCTCGTCACGTTTGGCTCGGGTCTGCCGTGCCAACCGTGCGCCACAAGATACATCAATTCCAAGAAAACCAGCCTGCAACTTTGGGAGCACCGTGAAACCTGCACGTCGTACTGCCCTCGAAATCCATTCTGCATCTTGCAATTTGGTACAGACGATGACGGACTTGGGCGAGACTGCTAAATTCTGTGCCTTCAGTGCTCTGCAAGTGGCAATCAAACATGCTGCTGTCCTGATGCGAAGATCTTTTCTCGAGCCTCTCATAAACTGCGATAAATCGTCGATCCAAATACGACGGCTGAGCCTCGGGTGGGCCACCGTGATTTTGGAAAGGACGTGGTGCGTCAGGCATCGCCCGAAGCGAGTCCCCGAGCGAAGGCCCTGGACTATGCTCCGAGTGGGTTGGAACGGTTGAGAAAATGCACCCAACTGTCCCAGCGCGCGCATGGCGACGCACATAAGCAATTCCAGTTGGAGGACCCGAGCAGGGAAGGAAAGATTGAGTGCACAACTTGCGAGACCTGGCCATTCAATGGAATCGTAGAACGACTGGATGTCCATCAATCCTTCTGCACATGGGATCTTCAAATGATGCGATACTTCCTCTTGTATCGCTCGTACAAAAGCTTCTCTCAAACTGGAATTGCCGTGTATAGCCGCATCCCAGTGCTGCTCGGTTGAGGTAGACCATGTACGTACAAGGGGCTCTCGTACCATGCTCCATACTCGTCCAAGCATCGATACTAATCCGATTATTCTATCTCCCGATGTCTTTTTCATCAACATCCGACCGATGATGAGTAAAACTTGCCCAGGCCAGCACCCGTATTGTTCGCAGGCTTCGAAAAGGATCGCAAGTTCAGCCAAGGCCGAATCAGGTAATCTTGCGAAGTCTGCGGGAGTCATCATATCCACTCCAGGGCCGGCCTTGGCTTTCATCTGTCGCAATGCTCGTCGAATGTCTGAAACGGAAATCATGGGCAAAACCTCGCCCACCGCAACTTGGTGGATAGAATGAAATGTGTTCAGAACCTCTTCCTCGTTCAGGGCCGACGGTGACCAAAGGGAATGCCAATGCTTCGACTTCGCGTCGATGATATCCTTGGGATGGAATGAAACTTGGTTCCCCTGGTCGTAATCGAGCCCTGGGAGTACCTGACCGTGAAGAGATTTATGTAGCGTGCCTATAGACTCAGACTGGACGAAAAACTCCTTGAACTCTGAAATTGAAACACTAACTGCCCGTCTCTGCGCACGATTCATGACACGTCGCGAGATATTCTCATAATTTTTCAAAACTGGAAGAGAACATGTGCCAGCAGTCCTGATGATCGTGAGCCATTCGTCCCACGGCGGGTCCTTGGCTTGAATCAGAACTTTAGCCAACCAATTTGGCCGATCATCGAGATGTCGATGACAAGCCTGAAGATATCGTTCCAACTGCTTGGCCCCATTCTCCTTGGAGTGATGAAGTGCGATGGCATTCAAAAGAGTGTGGAGTTGGGTCCACCAGGCGCTCACACGATCACGGAGCGGGGTGGCCCTGCATTCCCCAGGCATTTTGACTGTCTGGACTGCAAATCTGGCCCCTTGAGCGCGAGCAGGCCCAGGAGGGACTGGCACATTATGATGAGCAGAAATACACCATTCAACAGACGACACCCAGGATGCATATAACCCAGATATCACTGCCAGGTGGGCTGGCCTGAGCTTAAAGGCTACGGACTGATGGAAAGCAGGAGCAAGGGACTCAAGCGAGAAACCACCAGACGTGAAACCAACAGCTCGCCGACATTCATCCCGCAACTCAGGAGGTATGGCAAAGGACGGCTCCTGGTTGGTGGGCGAGGCTCCACCGTGCGACATATCCTGACTAGAGGCTTCCTGGGAATCCAAGGCTGGCGGCTCTGACGGAGGTGCGGGATGGCTAATCGTGTCCTGAGGTCCCTCGGGCACACTAGCGAGATCGGGACCCGCCTCCTGCGAAGCGACACTAGGACCACCGCACCCCAAGCCCCCAGCCACGGTGGGATCCCCAGGAGAAACAGACGAATTCGAAAAGGCTTGGCACACCGACAAATCCGAACAAAAGTTGAGCTCCTGAGCCCAAGGATCTTCCTCGTCGGGCCATTCATCAAAATCGATTTCTAAACTAACATTACCTGGCACCCTATCCCCCACAGGCGGAGAGGCATTTTCCCCTTCCTCATCCTCGGTGGGGGTCGCAGGCTGGGATTGCTCACAGCAATCACTGAAAAGGCTGTTGAAGTCATCAGCTCGGAGGAGGAAGAGACGGAGGAGGAGGAGGAGCAGGAGCAGGAGCAGGTACAAGAGCAAGCGGAGGATGAGCAGAAGAATGAGGATGAAGCTGATAAGCATCACCAGGAGTAGTAGTAGGAGGAGGAGGAAGAGGAGGAGGAGGAGCAGGAGAAGGCGACAGGGTGAGCATGAGGACGCTGGGAGAGGGGGGGAGGATAAGGTGGTGGTGGTGGTGGGGGAGGAGGAAGAGGGAAGGGGAGGCTGGAGGAAGATTGCTGGCACGACGCATCGGCCTTCGAATCCCCTGCGTGCGTAATAGAGGGAGAGAAGGAGGAGGAGGAGGAGGAGGAGGAGGAGGAGGAGATGAAGGAGGAGACGGAGACGGAGA